TCCGGAACAATCAGTAGCCCTCAACTGCGTGAAATCTCCCTCAGAGTTCTTACATCGTTGAACAACACAAGATGGTCGGTAAATTAAAGTTATATGCAAAGATCCACTGTTTCCTCAATGGCTGACCTGAATTGTACTTTTTGTGCTCGTGGTGAGCGATTATAAGTGGCGTGGAAAGGAAATGGCAAACATCGCTATAATGAATAATAGCGAATACAGACGTAATTGGGTGTTCATTGTTCAAGTAAGCGGCTTAAAACGACAGTTCTGAAAATTTGCAAACCTTTTTTAATTATCCAGGAATATTTCCCAAGAATTTTGATTGAATGCCTTCTATTCTCATGACGTTCATTTCTCTTGGCTTAGGTTATCAGCCGTTTGCCATCATGCGTATCGGGTAAGACAAGGAGGTCTGCGAAAGTAATCATCTGTGTTTATTAAAAACAAAAGATAATCGTAAGTCATACATATATCTCTTGGCAAATTAGCTTATAGATCTACATGCAAGATACTACACGATTCCATTTAACTTCAAAGTACAATCTCAGAATGGAAATTCATTTTTTTATTAACCTTAAATATATCGGATGACTCTGTGGAAGCTGCTTTGAGTCATTTTTCTATGGAGTTGCAAGAAGGCTGCAAACACGTTATTGCCTCAAAAACCAATGAAAAACGGACAACATTAGCTAAAGTCGGATTCTACTACATAATTCAGCTTCAGCGGAATGGTAACAACGGCTAACACATGTTCAGGTACAAAAGTCGAAATTTATAGCGTATTTACCGGGACGCTAATTAATCATTTGCCCGGTGGTCCGGCCGCCATTTTGAATAATTACTACGAGGAATGAAACTGATAGCCTGGAGAAAATATCTGGAAACAAGGCTACGATCCCGGTAAGTTTAGGGCCATACATACAGGTAATACTTTCAAATTCTTGGATTATTGGGATACATATTTGTTCGTGTTTGCTTTTTTAATAGATGTGAAAATGTATTTATAAGATTTTATCATCATAATGCCAACAAACGTGTGTACACAAAAGGTTACCGTATCACTTTAAACGTTTCAGCATTTTGGAAAAAAGTGGTATGTAGACACCTATATTAAACAGGATTTGAAAGAACAACAACAAATGTATAAAACCGTATAAGAGCCAGAGCAAGCTTTCCTTTTGAACAAGACACAAAATACGTCGCAAGTCTTAGATCAACTATCAAGAAATAAAAATAATAAACATAACATGCTTCTTCATAGCTGGCATAAGGGGTGTCTGCTATCCCTTGGGACGTGTTTTGTGTCTGGTTCAAAAAGTATAATGTACCATTTTTATTTTTTTATACCTGCTGAAATTTTTAAATATATACGGCAACATTTTAACATGTACACACGCTAATTGTTATTGTTTTTGTTAGTTTTTGTTCTCAGGTTTTTATGTTTTTGTGTATTTTCTTGGTCAGTCCTTATAACTGAACATATCAGACACTGAGATAAGAATATATTTCTCTTGCGTTTCAGGTAGTTAGAAGCACTCCCCAAATGACTAAACAGACAGATTCCAGAAGTATGTCATATATGTCTAGTCATAATGGATATTTTCTATTTTTGGGTAGCATATCTGATATAACCAACCCAACCTCAAAAACCCTTCTGTACCAAGATGCGAGAGTATTTCTACAGAAGCTGTATGCCAACTTTTTTGATGTGCATTGCCAAAATTGTGCAGATAGAGGAGGAAAGCCTTTTGAAGGAAACAAATGCCAATGATATGTAATTTATACCATAAATGAAAATTTCAAAAATAGAGTTCGGTTGTTGTTTGTACAGTCTAGAGCATGTGCCGAGTGGGGCTGTGGTCGCCAGCTGCTTTCGATGAAAATGGTTATTAACTGTACTGAAGATTAGTTTGAAATCACCTTGTACAAATCCTACTTTATGTATCTTTCGGAATAACCGAGCTGCCGCTTATCCGAAGCGCGTCTTCGCCTTCCATTTGAAATGTAAAGTAATTCCGGCGTATTATTCACTTCTGGAATCCGTTTCCTCCGAGGAAAAGTTACCTCGAACGACGGCGTCGGCTGCCATAAAGAATCCCAAATTAAATAAACTGCTGGCATCTCTTCTGCAAGCTGTTTGAAACGGACCAGGACCAGGTAAAATGTTTGATGTGCCGCGTTTCTGACTCTGCCGATTTATGTTTGATAAACAAACAGAACCTTTGACACGAATCCGATGATATTATTCCAAAAAGATGGTGCGTCCTCACGAAAGGAAGCTGTTTTCTTAAAATATTCTGTTCGAAGGATCACAAAATCAAAACCTAAGCTATCCTGGATCTCAATAAGTATGGTCTGCCTGTAACGCAGATCCGGTGGTAATCTCACGGATCTGATTTAGTAAGACTTGGGTTAAGCATAAATAAGTACTAAGTACCTGTCTTGGGAAATTCAAATGTATTTGGAAAGGGTTAACTCTCCTGCAAGCTGTCTAAAGTAAGCCAGGTAAAATGCTTGAAGTGCAGCATTTCAGACTCTACCGATTTCTGTTTGATAAGCAAACAGAGACTTTGACAAAATCCGATGTTATTACGTTAAGAAATGGCGTAAACTAGCTTGACTCTTCACTTCATCAGTTCATAAATTATTATGTACAGCACAAGCTAGACCCTATCGAAATAAGGCAGCACTGTAGACTTGCTGACCATGCTGAGTTAGCAAGAAAGGAACGAGACAGCTGTCTATGATTGGCTGTGTTTGATCATATATAAACATGGAAGAGAAAGTAAAAACAACAAGCAATACGTAAACGAGACAAACATAGAACACAAAGTGGCAATAAAAGCTAAAGAGTTATTAAAATTAATGTTAAAATTTAGTTCAGTAATAAATAGAGTTGTATTTTTAATTAGGTTAAGGAACGTCAAAAAAGCTTCAGATAGAAGCAAGCAATTAATAGTTTTGCCAAATTGAGACACAGAATTTCTCATATTCCGTATCAGATAGATAGCTTCTGTCAACGAAGAATCATCGCACAGTCCGAAAAAGTTTACTGGTGTTGTATTGTTATCTGTGTATCGAAATTCCGTACAGAAAACACTCATTGTTTGAGTTTTGTCTTCATCTAATGTCAGCCCGCTAATAACAAACAAGTTTTGAATGTCCGCCCTGCATACTGATGATTCGTTGTCTAGGTTTTCTAAGGTGCTGTAAGTTGAAAGGGGAGGAGTGTCATCGGCATACAGGAATAGTTTGCTACTAGTACCGTTACTGAGACAATTTTGTATGTCATTGAGGTATAGCAAAAATAACAATGGTCCAAGCACAAGGCTTGAGGAACCCTATGCAAAATTGTGGTGACAGTAGGTCTGCAATTTTTGTATTCCACGAATTGCTGTCTTACAGACCGGTAAAATTTGAGAAGCTGGATACTAGATGGTGCCATGGAATAAAAAGGAAGCTTTGACAGTAGCATCTCATGCTGCACACAGTCAAATGCTTTACTTAAATCAAAGAAGCCAGAAATTAAATAAGAAATTTTTTACTCTTCTCTCTAAAAAGGCCGAGGTAAGTTGTGATGCGTTTCTGATTGTCGATTTCTCTTTGACGAACAAACAAGCACCTCTGAGTTGAACCAAGCTATATTCTAGGTTATATCCGGTTCGAAGGACCAAAATGTAGTGCATTTTTAGATTCATACCGCACGTGACACAAATCACGGAACGGCTGTGTATCCTCCAGATAAGGTATTTTTGAAATAAATCAAGGTCAGACCTTTACTAACTTTAAACAAGTAGTTTAATCGAGACTTGTGTTTTTAAAGGAAAAGTCCCCTTTTAGAGTTCTCCGCTTTTTTTATTTTTGGACTCGAAAAGTGGCTTGCAATTAAAAAAAAACAGTATTAATTGAAATAACACTGAAGGTGAAGTTCAAAGTCAGATCCAAGGTCACCGTTTAACTCATTAATCAAAATTGACTTTTTTCGAAAATGTCTTACCTGGAAATATGTCTAAGTATAGGAAATTCCGGTTAAGTCAAATCACTTGCGATTGTTTTTTCTGTTTGTTACTGAGCATATTTGGACTACAGTGCGTGTAATCATTGAGGTCTTGTAATCTGATATCATTAATAAATGTCTTCAACAAATTTTAATTATTTGCCAAACTGACATATTCAGAAGTACTTCCAACGGTAATGCCTCCGAAAACTCCACCAATGAAGATTTTCGGTCCCGATCTGCCTGAAGTAAATAGAAACCGACAAAACTGAGAGAATCGTGGTCTCAAAAAGCAGAAATACAACACTCTCGCAGTAATAAACTTGCAACGTTAGGGCGGTTGCCACCACTCAGCTGTGCACACGACTCGAAGCTCTCATTACGGCACTCATGTTCGAATAAATTCTCCTTTAACTTCATTTAAAACCGGCCGAATTTCTTTTTGGAAAAGCATAAACCTAAATTACGACTGATTTAGCCGGGCTCGGCTATGGCGGGCCGACGGTCTACAACTTTGCCCGTAAAAATGCATCTGAATACGTGCGCCTGATGAAAACAGTGGCGTAAATGGTGTTTGGTCAAGGGTTAGCTAGTCAGAGGCTCCTTCGAGAACTGATCCGTATGCTCTGCTTCGGATGCCCTCGCAGCTGCTTATTGGATAAATTGACAGTACAACAAGTGATATTAATAGCAAAATGTTAACTTTATATGAGCCCATTGAATGCAAAACTCTGTATGTGCAAAAAGTCGAAAAATGAGATTTTTTATTGGTCAGGTAGATAATAGTAATGGCAAAAGAACTGTAAAGTGAGTTTGGTGCAAAACTCATCATTTCGTAAGTTATTTAGCCTATAAATATTCAGTCACATGCAAAACTCTTTAAAAATATATACATGTCAAATGAAAAACTGCGTAATTAGCGTCAACCAATCCCATTGGAGCATTTTAATCACGTGATCAATCCTGGAACACCGGCGCGTGTCTATCTCGTATTCTGTTTGTTTATTTTCAGTTTGAAGTTTGAATTCTTTAGTCGTGTGTGTTATTAACAATGGATGATAATTCTCTGATTCTACCTTGTGAAGCAGGAAGAAGCCGAAAACGACCAGTGACAAAAGACAATTGGAAAAGGTCCAAATTAAAAGCGCAAAGGTACGTTTCACTGACTTGGTTCATAGAAAAATAATAATTACCAAACTAATATTGTTTGCAGGCGTAGGCCAAAAGGCTTACCCGAATATCCCACATGCCGCCATGACAAGAAATCTACTTTTTCATGTAAGAAGCTATCAATGAGTGATATCCATCGATTCAAGACATCCTTATATTAAAATTTTGTGAAGGGATACAACCCAACAAAAGTTTTGGAAAGAAAAAATCAAATTCTATCCAGTATTATATTTCAAAAAATGACGGGACTAGGGTCAGAGTTTGTAAAGCCGCATTTGAAGGGATTACTTTGCTGAGTCCATTCAGAATCGAGAGACTAGTACGTAGTCATCTTTTGAAAGGAGAAGCGCCAACAGAGAAGAGAGGAGGAGGCCGAATTAAAGACAAAAATGATCAAGTTAAACAATCTACATTTTTATCGAAAGTCTGACATGTGCAGAATCCCATTATAGACGTGGTCATACAAGTAGATTATACCTTCCATGTGATCGTAATTTCAAGAAACTCTATGACATTTATTGTGACCGAAATAAAGACGAAACCGTTAGATTATGCTATTTCAGAAATTACGTCAATCGCAACTACAACTTAGCTTTTGGTACTCCACTAACAGATGCGTGCTCAACTTGTCTCCGTGCAAAAGATTCTATTGCAAAAGCAACTTTCCCCGAAGAAAAAACAAAACTGATAATCGAACACAAAAAAGTTTTTTATAGTATGCTCAAAAATGGTCAAGAAGATGTGGAAATTTTCACATTTGACTGCCAGAAAAATTTGGCATTTGACCAATCGGCATACTTTTGTCAGCAAATAAACCTTTATAACTTTACGGTTGTTTGCGTTAATTCAAAATGCAAGTTATCGCCAGAGAATGTAAAATCTTTCGTGTGGTTAGAAACGGAATTTGCAAATAACTCAAATACTATTGCATCAGCTGTGCATAATGTTTTGACGACACATCATTCCGAAGAAACAAGAAACAAAGGTCAGCTTTTTGTAGATGGTTGTGGGGGGCAAAATAAAAACACTACCCTAATGTCCATGTTAGTATATTGGCTTGTAATGGAAGTACCTGCTCACATCAAGAATTTGGAAATTATAGTTCCTATGGTAGGACACTCTTTTTTGCCCTCCCGACCGAGTGTGACTATCAGTGGGAAATATTTGACTGGACGACTGAAGCTGCTAGAGTAATAAAAAAACCGGGACACTGGCATTTCAAGTTTAACGAAACAAAGAGATTTATTTTTGCGAAAACACAAACACTTAATGCTACCATTCAAGGTGAAATTTTATACAAGTCAAATTTAGGAGTTCCTCGCAGTGCAATTGACATTTTATTGAAGAACCATTACGTAAATGAATGGCCAAATTTACCTGAGTTCGAATTCTATAAAATTATTGACAAAAATGCCACAGAAGCCCAGAATAGAATAGACCCCGACGAGGAATATGAGAGTGAAGAAGAAGAACCAGTCCTAAAAATTTAATAAAAAAGTTTTTTATTTATATTAAGTAAGGATGTATTTTTCGTTTTGTATTTTTATAATGTTTAAGCGAATAAATCATTCGAAAGTACATGCAGTTTTACCTATGCATCACAAGAAATAAGTTAAAGCTATCATTTCACCTCAAATGCAAAACTCGGGTAAATAATTGCCTTAAGTGCAAAACTCTGTACTTGCATCCTTTATTTGCCGTTTTTCAGTCCGTTAGGCCATCTGTAGGTACAAGTCAAAGACTGTTGATCGGTATGATAGGTTACTTCTATTAAAGACATTTTCGATGCACCGGGGAAGCAGCAGCTAGGAGATATACGTTTTTAACGTCTACTGTAAAATTAGCAAAATTGCAAGTACAGAGTTTTGCATTTAGCGGGTTCATATGTCAAAATGTTTTGACATTACTTGTTTTTGATCCGTTTGCGACAAGGATTCTAATGGAAATGGATCCCGCTATTAAGTCTCCAAAAATTGACATTAAGTAGCTCGACTCTGCATTTTCCACGCAACAGTCACTCCACAGAGGATTATGATCGGAACAAGTAAAGCTTTATTTGAAAAAAGCTACGAACATGTACAACAGAAGCAATAAATGGATCAAGTTAGTCAGACAGACCTGTACAACTAGTTCACAGTCCCCACACGTTTAACAACATTGCGATCTAGACATGACTAGACACATTATCAGTCATTGAGTTGCGTGGAACGCATATACTGAAAATATACCTCTACTAAGTTTTAAGAGTAAATGCACTAGGAAATCTATTGTACGAAGTATGCCTAATAGGTGCGTAGAATTGTTAGAGTTGAAAATATATAAATCTGCGCCAAAAAATTGGGATATAATCTACGTCACCACCTACAACCTCAAACCCTCAATATTTAACCGCAACAAAATTATTCTAAAAATCATCAACAGCCTCTGAAGCATTAGATATCATGATAGAGAAGTGTGCTAATTTTGGTCGAGCAATTTTATGTACTGAGGACAATAACAGCTTTTTATACCAAGGTATCTATAGAATTTTCATCAGTACTTAGTATGATATCGCATTTAAATTAATTAGGCTTTGATAAACAAAGTGTTTTACATCTTATCCGACAAAAAAAATAATAAATGTGCTACAGAAATTAAGTTATAAGCCTGAGTTTCAATAATAGATTGAAAAATAAATATCTGTATTTTGCGTTCATCGTCGTGATATTAGCAAGTGCATTCATAATTTATTGTAGCAAATGTTGTACCAAAAAACTGACGAAAACAAATTATCAGGAATTTTTTGTTTTTTCATACTGACAAGAACGTGTAAATAAGGTTTAATATGTATCGTGGGTGATCTGAAAGAAGGACGGTCGATTTTTGTGTTAAGTTAAATAAGAATGTATTTTGCCAGTTTATGGTTTTAATTATTTATTAATAAAAGTGGTACATGTGTACACTAATGAGGAGTTAGTGGACATTGTTTTAGCGTACGGAGAAGCAGGGCAAAATTCGCGAGCGGCTTCTCGTTTGTATGCACAGCGATTTCCGAATAGGGACATAACATACCATGAAACATTTAGTTGTTTTACGTGCACGTGCTAGTGGTGATTTGCGCCCCAGACGTGGATTGGATGAGGGTCGGGTTCGCCCACAACGCGTTTTAAGTTCCGAATATGAAATTTTGGATATTGTGGAAGAAAAGCCGGGAATGAGCGCAAGGCAGTTGGCCCAACAGGTCCCAGAAGTGTCACATGGAACAGCGTGGCGCATATTACATGAGGCCCAAGTGTACCTTCATCTCGCCCAGAGAGTCCAGTAGTTGCTACCTATCTACCAGCCCCTGAGAGTAAGATTTTGTGAGTGGTTCTTGCAAGAAAATTCTCGAAATGCCTGTTTTACAGATGATATTTTGGCCACCGATTAAGCTATTTTTACTCGTTATGGGATAACCAATCTTCACAATCCACACGTGTGGTCCTTTGAGAATCCTCACACAGTGGTCCGGATACACTTTCAATATCGTTTTTCTTTAAGCATGTGGGCAGGTACTGTCAATGAACGTCTAACTGGACCGTTCATATTGCCATCGGATGGACGGTCACCAGTATTTGGAATTTCCTTGTCGGTCCCTCTTGAAGACGTACCATTGGCGGTCCGAGCACGGATTTTGTTTTTGGCACGATGGGGCACCTCCGCATTTTCGTTCGTGATTTTTTTGAATCAGGTATACCATATACGCTGGATCCGAAGGGGTGGACCAATTGCATGGCCCCCACGATCTCCCAATCAAAATCATCTGGACTTTTTTTACGGGGATACATGAAAAACGAGGTATACCGTACTCCAGTTCAGAATATTGAAGAATTGCCTGACCGAATCACAGTGGCTGCCGAGGAAGGAGGTGTATTTAAATTAGTGCACCGAAATTGGATTAGACGCACCCCAGCTTGCATTGCAATCAATGGAAACAATTTTAAATAGCTTCTATAAGTAAGTGAACTGTTAAGTTGTATTATTTTATCATCTCGATTTCTGTAGGACTTGTTATCAATTTTTTTTCTGAGGACTCTACTTATTTCGTAACAGTGCATATGTGGTTAAAATTTGTCGGATAAGTTGTGAAATACCCTTTATACCATATCTGATACATGACAGTGTGCGATAAAGATAGAAGATGCTAGGCACGTCAACACATCAGTTGCTTCCCTCATATTCAGATATGCCACTTTAGCATGGGCCCTCGGACTGTCAAACGACACAAATTTCAGTAAAAAAATTACAAGTAATACTAAATGTCTCTTTAAATGCAAGGTTAATGTGGAGCATTTGACGAGGGACAAGAGGATCTCCGGATGCCGCAAGGTCTCTGAAGGCAGTGGGCAGGTTTGGTACACGATCGGCTCGTTTACTGAAGGGTGCTCAGGTTTTGGAGTCGTTGGACCTAGAAGCAAGCTATCGCTGCCTTTTGGCTGTTACACCACTATTTTTCAGGCTGAAATCCATGCGATCCTGGCTCACGTATTCTGAATCTTGGAGGATGGAGGGCCTATGACAAGAATACAGATCTTTTTCGACAGTCAGGCTGCGATAAAGGCACTATGTACCGGCAAGACTACTCCAAGCCTTGTATTGCAATGAAGGGAGTGTCTGGGTAGCCTAGCAACGAGGCATCCGGTGTCGTTAGTGTGGGTAGCGAGCACGCTGGGATAAAGGGCAATGATATGGTGGACGCTTTTGCGAATGCGGGATCAGTGGGCAAGCTTTTGGTACAAGCAGCCCTAGGGGTGCTCTTGCAAAGAGAAAAGAGGAAAATGGAGAAGTGAATTGCTAGACAACAGTCTCAGAAGTGAACAAGCGTCTCTAGACATCTCCGTTAGGCACAAAAGCTCATCGTAAGGCCCAATGCTAAAGATGAATGCTTTTGCTTATCTTTGGATAGAGCCAACCACGACGAAGGGCCACCTGGATGTGATGGGGATGGCTGATGACCCCATATGTGAGCGCTGCGAGGTGGAGGAGGAGTCGCTGTGAGGCTCTGACTATTCTGGGGCCCCCAGTATGTTAAAAAGCTGGGACTCAGGACTATATGCAACTTTGCTAGAAGGGCAGAGCATGAAGCTTAGGGAATGTAGGGGTTATTATTTTGTTTGTTTGTTATTCACTCATTCATTCAAGT